CACATCCGCAAGGAACCATCTTTCTTCCTTACAAATAACACAGGTGCTCCCCACGGTGATGTACTAGGTCTGATAAAGCCTTATTCAAGCAAGTCCTTTAGTTGTTCCTTCAACTCTTTCAGCTCTGCGGGGGCCATTCTATAGGGAGGAATAGATGTTGGATGAGTATCTGGTAGTAGGTCAATAGCAAACTCAATTTCTTGCTCTGGCGGAAGACCTAGAAGCTTATCGAAAAGGAAAAAAAAAATCGGGAACTCATTAACCATAGGGATAGATTAAACGGTTGGTGACTCTACTTTCACAGTCTTTACCTGAATTAAGTGATAATCATAACCTTTTCTGATCATCTTCCTTGCCTTAAGACAGGGAATAAATCTACCTCTCGACGATGTCGAATTACCTTTCTACTCCAAAAACAGGCTCTCCTGGAAATTAGAATCGAACCACCTTTGATCTTCAATCAACGTTAGCATAACAAGAAGCCAACCAATCCATGCCCATGATAACATTAAATTCTACCCAACCAAGCGCCACGTACCTTATCCTTATTTGTTATCAAACTTATCACAGGCCATTATGGGCCACACACACACACACACACACATACACACACACACACACACACACACACACACACATATATATATATATATATATATATATATATATATATATACTCGCAGAACTCATTCAAAAAAAAAGGTTTATATGGATACATAAGGGCCGACAAGGCCATAGACATGTCATACCCAAAATTATATACAGGATACTGTCTGCAAAACCTTTAAGAAAACATAACCACAATATATACAAGTCGGGACGGGGCTCCCTACGTCCTCATAAAACAACCTAACACATTCAGAATCCTGACTTGGTAATACTCCAAGAAGAGGTGGAACTCACCAACCAAAAGCTGACATCTGGAGAAAGTCTACAGTAGAGGGTCCTTGCCTCGACCTATATGAGAGCCTCGATCAGACACACTTCGAAGCGGAATCTTCATGTCCTTATCAGTTACCTTCATCCTCTTGGCCCGACTACTATCCTCTTCCTCTGCATATCCCATAACATACACAGATGAACCCTGATTGACGGACTCCCAAGACTGTGGACTATCTGGAACCTCAGAAGAGCTGGTGTCCGTAAATACCCTGACATAGTTTTGAGCCTGAGGGGAACTCGGTTGTGCCAATCCGTGCACCACTCCCCTCATACCCTGATCAACGGGTTGTGATAATGAAACTAAGGGCCTTGGTGAGGTCGGAACTCCTCTCACCCATCTGCTATCGGAGTGATCGAAACAACTCGAACGGATGACTCATATGGATCATCGGATAGATCCTCCTCAATAGAACCCATGATCTCCGATGGGTCTGACTCCATAGTGTAACTTATATCTCCTTCTAATACTTTCGTAGCCTTCTGACCCGTGCTAGCGGCTTGCGCCTGTCGTCTAGTAGTAACAGGCATCACTAAAACATAAATAAGGTAAAGATTAGGAGTGGATACTTATGACTCAGTTCTATCGCACAATCTGGATTAGAAAGAAAAGTAACCATCCTAAATATCCGGTAGCCTCCTATTTATAAGTCTGGTGCACAACACACCCATAAACAAGACTCTACGAGACACGGTCTGTAGACAACCCTAGGACAGGACTGCTCCGTTACCACTTTTGTCATGACCCAAACTGATGGGCTGCGACGGGTGCCCGAATCCTTCATGTCGAACATCTTTAAGCATGCGTTTAAGATATAAACATGAATAACATACGTGAGGGAAACCTATCCAAAAGACGTATGTACATATACATGCGGAATACAGTGGGCGAGCCGGAAAGGCTGCTATAGACAACTTTATACCCAAAACTGGAAGCCGACAAGGCCACATACTATCCAACCATACAGAACTGTCTACAGACCTCTAATAGAAATACAGCTGTACAAAGACAGGACTGAGCCACGTCATACCCATATATGTATACAAGCATATCGTACCAAAATCAAAAGCAACTCCGGATCAAGTGGAGCACGCCAACTCTCACTGATCAAGAATCCTAAGAAGAGGGACCGTCAACTCGCCTACCTGCAACTGCGGGCATGAAACGCAGGCCCTGGAAAATAGGGCGTCAGTACGAATAATGTACTGAGTATGTAAGGCATGAAAATCAGTACATAAAAGACATAGATGAAATATGAAATAAAGAAATCCACCTGTAGGTCTGAATAACTTTGTAAATTCTGCAACATTTTATAGTGTCATGCACGTGTATATAATTGTCGTGTCATGCATAGGTGTAGGTGTACATAACATCATCAAGCCTCTGAGGGCATCCCATCATATCGTTTCGGCCACTGTGGGCAACATCATCTACATATACCAACTGATCAGGTGGTGGTGTGTATATAGCGCCGTAACCTTTTTTCCATATCCCATATACATATGTATATACATATAAATATGCGTATATAACGCCATCTGGTCATGGGTCAATGTACATGTATAAATGAATAAAATGCATGAAAATATGTTAATAATCTCAATATTCCTTTTGGATAAACTTTATCAACTGCGTATTATTCTATGACCCATGAACAGAAGAGATAATAATAATTCACATGGGCAATCAAGTACATAGAGACCCCTACTATTTCTATGAATAGACTTGTTTATGAAAACTGTGCGTTTGCTCGTTTCTTCTGTATAATTTGGATCATGCCAAAAAGAAAGAAGGGATAGCCTTAACATACCTGGAGTAGGGAAAAATCCGTATGATGTTCTTAAAAAAGGTTGCACCGTACTCCTTTAGAGCCGCAAAATTTTTACGTTGCTAAGATTCTAATAATTCTCGTTGGATTTTTTTTTGTTGGAACTGGTTCCAAGAAGTCACGTTGATAACTTGTAGGAATTTTAGCGTTCTGATTGAATTTGTAAGGATTCACGTTACTAATGTGCAAAGCTCATGTCAGAATTGTAGTATTATTTTGTATTAGAATTATTAGAGTGAAGTGTCTTGTTATTAACCTATTAGGTTGCCACCTAATCAAATTGACTTAAGAGTCATTTGTCTAAGAGGTGGCTTGCTTCCACGTGGGGGTGGGAAGGGAAATTTTAATCTTTATCCAACTTATTATAATTAGGTAATGTCCCGTTACCCGGTAGTTAACCAATTACCCGCATAATTAAGAATTGTCTCAAATTACTTAAAATTTTAGTTATTTTTAATATACTTTATACATCATACTATCATGGTCATATGGTACGTACCTTGTATGGTACTAGTCCATAAATATCGAGTATTATAGCCCGGACCATATTTCATCCCAATTCGGCAACCTTCAACGAAACTCATTTTCTTTAATTCGTGTATCCTTTATCCTTCATGGCACTTACTTATCGCTTGTTATTGTATTGGGAAAAAACTGAATTTATATTGAAGGTGACGTGGCATGACACGTGGACTGGTCAAATGATCAAAACATGATGATCAATTGAGGGGCACGGGCGATATCAGATACGAAGAGAAGAGAGTTAAATAGGCACGAGATGCTATTCAAATGATACGAGTCTCGTATCTATTTAACTTAATTAAAGCTAGGAGGTCAGAAGGAATTGAAGATATGAATCTGATAGCATAAAGGAGTCTAAATTCAGTATTAAAAGTCAAATACGTTAACGAATCAGCATTGAATAGGAATGATTGTGTAACGTTTCATTTAATGTCATTTAATGCTCATAATTGCCTCTTTAAGACTGAGACATTATACCTTTTCCTAGAAAAATCAGCTATAAAAGGAGGAGATCTCAGCTTTTGTAAGGACACGAAATATCATTGAGATTACATTGAAATACAAACTTATTTACTGCTTTATTATTCTCAAAAATTCCTTATTCTTTTCGTCTCCTGATTATCAGTAACCCGATTTTTTCTCTTAATTTATAGTTTTAACTGAAATTCTATTTTTTGGTTAAACAGTTATATATAGCATAAATACATTAACCTCAAGATAACCTCATCCCCGCTTCTACGTCGACTTCATAAAATGTCTTGCCGTGCATCTTCGCTTTTTAAATTAGTGATAATGTCTAAGTGTTAGATGGAACAAGTCATATAGTCAAAATCACAAGATATAAATTCTAAGAAAATGACGTCCGCTCGTAAGTTAGGGAAGCAATTTCCTCACTTTGATTATATAAATTCATTATTAACCGAACAGCAGAAAACGACTTTCACGTGAAGAATATTGTTTTGAAAGATGATTCTCCGTCATACCAAATACGCCCCAATGTACCGTTTTTAATCTCCCTTCTCTCTTTTATTTGTCACAAACATGTCCTCCCCCCACCCCCCACCCCCCAAAAAGGGGGGGTTGTGGAGAAAATGAATGATCTGTCGTTAGTCATTTGGACGCATTGAATACAAATCGATCACATGGTATTATAATTTTTAGCTCGTACCAGAAACTATTTGCATTCGGTAGCCAAATATACCTTGCTTCTCTCAAATAAAAATGTATCGAGTATGATGGCGTCTATTTTTCTCAGAAAAATGAGAAAAAAGAAAAATTGTCAAGTATGAAACATACACAAATAACTTTAGTGAAAAAGAAGTAACCTTGTGAGATTATTACTTTGTTTTCTTAAATGATTTCAAATTTAACACAAGTGACAAGATTTTCCACATAAATGCAGAATTATAAACATAACTAAAATTATGTTACTTTTAAAAGAGAGCAGAATTTAAGACGCTAATATTTTTTTCGGAATCCACATTTTCGTATCACAATTCTACTTGTTAGTTGGTGTAATTGATACAACTTCATCGCTATTTTGAGGAATGGAATCTGCTACATATGACGTTACGTTCAAGCTGTAGCTAATTCCTTCTGGACCATATCTACACACATGTAAAATTCTTTGTAATACATTATAATATTTAAAAGTTAATTTAAGTAATTCAACTTATAAGTGAAGTTCAATCTTTAACAAAGTTGTAATATTGTACTTTGTTTTTAGTCTTCAAAATTCAATTTCATTTGATTCTAACAACATTCAAATGTTCTTCCAAAACTCAACTCAAACATGCACATACTCTTTTCACAAAAAGAAGAAAAAGAACCTCAAAATCAATTCTCACAAATCAAAATCAAAACAAGAACTTCCACTGCAAACGCCATTGAATAACTCTTCATGTTCAGGCTCATCTTTAGCTTTCGAATGAACTGAATTACCACAACAATTTGAGGATCTTCGATTCAAGATTGGTCCGGAACAGTGGGAAAATGTTCATTGATAAACTTCTTAAATCTCTTTTTATACTCCTGGGGACTCGGAAATGAGGAATTGTACGTCCCATGTATACTGTCTTAGATAGTCAATGATCCCACAAACAAGTTCATTGCCCTCAGTATTCATTCCCACAAACAGAGAATAGTCCATCGCATTGATTGTCTGCAATTCACCAAATTATACCAGTTTAGAAGCAACAACATGACGACGACCCAGTAAAATCCCACTAGTGGGGTCTGGGGAGGGTAGTGTGTACGCAGACCTTATCTCTACCCCGAGGGAGTAGAGAGGCGGAAACACCTACTATATATGGCTCAGTTTAGAAGCTGAGCATATATAAAATTCTAGGATTGAGTGGTTATTGGGACCTCTCTATAACAGCATCCTTATATAACATCCATTCACTATAAAAGCCAAGTTTTTCTTGGAACCAATTTTTATATTATGTTATAATATATGTCCTCTATAACGATATTTTACTATAGCAGTCAAAATATATTGGAACGAACGAGGTTGTTATAGAGACGTTTGACTCTATATGCAAACATGACATGCTATTCTAGTGCTCTTGATATATAGTAGAATTTCATGTCAAACTTACACCGAGGAAAGCTGTGTCATTCCATACAGCTCTTTGCAAATTCCTGTTTGAGCTTTTACCAACATATATGGGGTAAATATTCATGTCATTCACAAAGTTTTGGTCCTGAAAAATTCCTCCTGCACCGTCGTTTGCTGAACTAAGTCGAGCATGCAACGTACCTTTCAGTTCATATTGTCGAGTAATATTTTTTCCAAACGAAAGGTTCTCCATCACCACGAGATCATGCGTTTTCTCTTTCCCACTTGATCTTATTATGACCTGCAAAACATAAATATTGAGAGAAAAGTTCAATAAGCAAATGCACATTTGCTGGCAAGTCTGTGCTGTGTTATAACCAGAAAATTAAGTTGATTTCTTGACCTGATAAATGCCAAGAATTTTTGCAAGGCAGGTTTGACTTCCCTTCTCTATGCACTGATCCATGTATTCAAAATAACAAGGAGCAAACTTCAAGAATGACTCGAATTCATTCCTCTTAATTTCCTTTACGATGAAGCGATCATCAAGAGTTTTGGCAAAAAAAGAATTAGTTTTCCGACCTTTTGGATACCGGCTCCTACACCTACTTAAAGAAGCAATAAAATCAACTTCAGATGGGAAACAACGATCACGCAAATGAAGAAATTGACGAGCATAGGGACAGATCACTGAGTATTTGTGCGTTCTAGGCAAACTCGATGAGCATGATTCATCTTCAAGATCATGACTCACGACAGGCAAATCCATCAGCAAGGCCAAAGCACAAGCAATTATGCTAGAAAATTCATCTTCATAATCAGACACGATATACTTATCACTTCCAAGGGGAATATAGAGCTTTCCAACTTCATCAGTAGTAAGTCCACAAGCTATAGTTTGTGCACCATAGGTTGCGACAGAACCTAATCTTGTTAAGTAACCTCTCTGAAGATTCTCCATGTATTCACGTCGAATTGCAGGGAAAGGAGTCCACCACCCTTTGTTATGCTCTATATTGGATAATATTGCTAAGAGGGATCTACTCCTTTGAGGATTAAAATAACTGGCACCTGTGTTTAACCAAAAAATGGAATTTTAGTTAAAGCTAGAATTTAGAAGAACTCGGGTTACTGATAATCGAAGAAATGAATAAAAGGAAATAATTCTGAGTAGCAATATAATAATCAAGAAAAACAAGTGATACCAATGTATATTTCAATAGCTTTTTCCGTGTGTCCTACAACTGATCATATATCTCCTTTTTATAAGTACCTTTGAGATTGTATGTTATGCCCAAATCATAATGAGGCTATTAATAATTAAAGACATTGAATGCTACGTTACACAATCATTATATATTCCTTAACGGACTCAGCATTTAATACCCATTAAATGCTGTATCTGCACGCTTTTTATAACCAGATTCATTCCTTCTGATGCCCGGATATAAATGATTTAAATAGGTACGGGCGCCGTGCTTCTTATCTGATGTCCCGCGCATCTTCCTTCTTCTTTGCTCGTGTCTATTTTACAACTCTTGAATCGTGCCTAATTATGATTCATTGACCATTTGACCAATCCACGTGTCCTGACACGTCACTTTATATGTAAAATACAATTTTCCCCAATACAACCTGTAGCATTAGCATCTAGTATAGCGGCCAGTGCATCCTGCTTATAGTCAGATGACATCAGGGAATGAAGACGTCGATCCCACACACACAACTCAAGCAGAAGCTCCAGCTGTATTCTGTTCAAGCTCAGAGCTTTATACACAGACTCCAGTTTCTCTGTGTTTTTAATATCAATCTGAAAATTGAAGGCAAAAGATTATATTTAGATGGCGCATACACATCAATATATTTGATATATTCTCATTTTCACCAGTAAATCAACAACTTAACTAATCTTGGTTCATGCATGTGTATACATTTGACATGTTAACATTATGCTAGGGAACATCGCATGAACACTTTGTGGTTGTGGAATAACATACATGGAATACAAAAAATGAGGAAACGAGATGGAAAAACGATGCATGAATCGCCACAAGATTGATTAGATATTTAGATTAAGTGCTAGAAGAACAAGTAATCCAAGAATGAGAGCCCAGAAAGGAACTAACCTCAAATTGAGATCTCTCTTCCTTCAGCATTTTCTCAACTTCAGAAAATTCGAAATTTGACCCTTGAATATTTATAGTTGTTCCATTAAAACGGGGCTCTATTGCCTTTAAAGCTTTCTGTACATCGAGAAACTTCATAATCCCATTCGTGTAAACCTACTCACGAAAAGACAATCCCGGCATCATAGACTTGCAAATATATCATGTAATTTCCGCAGTAAACCAAAAACTTAAAAGCATTAGTATGTAAAAAGAGTATACAGCTTCATAAAAGCACATACATCCTCAAAATCCTTCCTACAAAACTCTCCTTTGGTCGAACTGCTAAACTCAAAAATCGGAGGAGGAAGCAACACAGAATAAATAATAAATGTTGAGTACTTGAACACTGCAACCATTGACCCTAATCTGCACATTAAGAGAATGACATGAATTTTTTTTTAAAAAAAAAGAAGATGAAATATGATCAAGGCTCAACACTGAACCGCAATGCATCTATTCAAATGATTGCCAGAGTTGAAAAAAGAAAAGCTGCAAAACAAATTACTATAACCGTCAGTGATGTAATACAACAACAACAACCCAGTATAATTCCACAAGTGAGGTTTGGGGAGGATAGTGTGTACGCAGACCTTACCCCTACTCTAGGAGGTAGAGAGGCTATTTCCGATAGACCCTCAGCTCAAGAAGATGAAAGAAACAATAGAACAGTAACAACAACAAAGACCAAAAAGATAGTACCAACAACCTAAGAACCAGAAAAATAGATGGGAAAAGCAATAGCAATAATCAGAACCAATGGCAAGATACTAGAAAGCCGGAGTGGAAAATTAGTATGAAAACAACGTGTACTACTAGGAGTCTACGATAAGACAGTATCAGACTAGCCCCGCACCATCAGAGATGTAATAAGTCAAGTAATTATGCCTTAATCCCAAAATGGTTATATATGTATCTATTCTGCCCTATTTTAGGCTCATTTCGTCCGAATACATTAAAAATTACATTTCAAGGCATTTTAGGAGAAAAAATAGAGTTTCAACCACCTAATCTTACTTTAATTTCTAGTGTTGAACCTAAATACGTAAAATAATAAACTTATAAGATGGATACCACAATTTTGATCATACCCGAAGAAGTAGAGGAAATCGCTGTTGAAGGAGTGACTGCGGTCAGGCAGTCTACTAAACAAAGAGGAGTCGGAGAAACTGAGCTGCAAAAATCTTCCAAATGAAAATCCAAGGGAGCCACTAGACATTAAAACTCTTTTTTGTGTTTTTTGAGCCTCCATTACGACTCCACATCCAAATTTTACCTTCCCTTTCACCTGAGGGAGCCTTGTTTAATGGAAGAGAATGAACTTTAATAGTGAGTATTTTCTCATGATGTGCATAACGGAAAATGTGAACTTCAGGGGATTCACCACACGTCCCACATTGGTTCCTCTGCAACAACAGAGCTTATATGTCAACAACCTAAAATAAATAACACTATGTACAGAAAACAATGAACGGAAGTTCCTAAAGGCAGCCTGGTGCACGAAGCATCACGCGTTTACGCAGGGTCCGGGGAAGGGCCGCACCCTAATGGAGTGTGATGTAGGCAGCCTACCTTGATGCAAGAATCAGTGGCTCATTCCATGACTCAAACCCATGACTTATAGGTCACACGGAAACAACTTCAATTATCGCACAATAAATAGATCCGGGGAATGGATGTTCCTACATAGTAATTAGATTATAGAAGCAACTTCAAATATCGCATTCTGCTAAATGAGCAACCAGCATTCTAGGAAACATTATCAGAGTGGAAACACAGTGACACAAAGAAAGAGTTTGTAATGGAGACAATTGATTTCTACGCACCTGATTTAGCAGATTATCTCGCAAAAACTTCCCAAGGGAAATATCATAATCTTGATAGAACCTGATTCTAGAAAAAACATTGTTCACACAATTAGTGCCTCTTTTAGCATTCCATCTTGACATCATTACCAAAGTACTCTCCGAATCCAACGATGATGTCATGACATCCGTATTATGTTCTTCGTCTTCAAGATTTTCCAAAGACTCTTCTGCACTCTGTAATGGACAATGTAGTTGATCCTTTTCAGGTGTCTTCTCTTTGTCAGAAACTTGAACATCATTTTGACCGTCATCTTCTGGATTGTTTGGCTTAAACAAAAGAGACTCACCACCTTCCTCTAAGTTATCCCTTATTATCATTGCTTTTTGATCTAGAAGGAAAGACGTCTCAAGGATTAAATTATATGCCATGGTGACTGCACGCCGTACGACATATTTAACTTTCTTCAATTCATTGCTGTTAGTTCCCATTAACAAAATCTGCAAAAGAAATCACATCTGGTGATCTAGAAATAAAGGCATCATGAATAGCAGATAAAGGAAACAAATATCAGTCCACGCATCTGGTGCAAAAAGCAGTTATGAATTCCGCTGCAAATATACTCACTGTACATCCACGACAAGTAGAACAGCCCCTGATAAACATAAGTGTTTTGCTAGACCTTTTCACGGTATCACCAGAAGAGTCATGTTCTTCTAGGAATTTCTCAAAATGAAAGGAATCGCACTGCCTGAGGTCAACCAATGTTTCAGAAGATATGATTGATGAACCTGTGCATTGAGCAACTCTCTCCAGTCGATGTGGCTTGATATCAACGACCAATGTCAATCCTTTATTAAGAGCATACTCTTGTAAGTCACGAGAAACAGACTTCTCTACTAAAACCACATTTGGTTCGTAGCTTTCTATCATGTCAATGATAGACTTCACTTTATTGTTCTCCTGTTAATATGTAAGTAACAGTAATCACAAACAAATGAATATGCTTTTCTTTTTATTTGATACATACAACGGTATTTCTAATTTACCTGTCGAAGTGACTCAAAAACTGACAATTCATTTGAAGAGAGACCAAGTGCACCCTGGATCAGCAGCAATCTAGGATTATTATACTTCGTAGGCATGCGTTTGTGAGCAGCATGCTTATTGAAGACCAAACCTCGGATAAAGTGGCTACAAAACAGAAAAAACCTATGATTTAGCCTAGAGAACTAAGGGCTCCCTCTGTCAAAAATTCGTAGTTGTAGTGTGAACAGACACAAACACAGTGATAAAGGCAGATACTGAAATTAGGGCAGCCCAATGCTCCCGCTATACGTGGGGTCTGAGGACCCTGACCACAAGGACCTAAACTACGCAGCCTTACCCTGTATCTCTGCAAGAGACTGTTGGCGGCTCGAGTCCGTGACCTCGTGATCACATGGCAGCAACTTTACCAGTTACGCCAACGCTCCCGTTCAAAAGAGAAGTGAAACCTTTTGGTGAGGTTGAGGTTTTTATAAAAGTTAAAGAGGATATCCAGTAACTTTTAAAGAAGTATACCAGTCAATCAATACGCCTCCAATCTCAAACTAGTTGATGCATCTATATATATATATTTTGTATCCGCTCTTCTCTATTCAAGCCCAACTTAAAGTCGTATGACATTCAAAATTAATATAGAGAAGGAAAAAAATTTCCATTCAAAAGAGAAGACACCTTTTGGAAGTTCACAAAGAAAAAGAATACATTCTTATTAGATGCTGAAAGAAACACCCAAACACATAGGCAATAGTGTAAGCATGACAAATGAAATCAAATTTTAACTATCTAAACATTAAGCGAATGAGGAATGACGAACACAAATAAAGATAAGAAAAATCGGTTGCTGTTTAATACCTTTGGCTGCGAGAACCGGTTGCAATACATTTTATCTTCAAATATCGACTAGGATCCATAGCATTTCCTTCAGCTGCAGTAGGCATAAAAAATGAAGCAGCCTCCATGGACAAGGAAATTACTATGTCAATCCAATTGTCACCCTCTTTCCCTGAAGAGACGACACCAGAAGAATTAAGCAGGTCATCAACAAGGGGCTTAAGCCTCTGGTCCATCATATCCCCTAATAACTTTTGTTTTTCCTCTTTAAACTTGTGGCTTCCATCGTCGTCTTCATAATTAGCCTCATGAAATTCCATATCATCATAACAATGTTCTGGTTCAGGGGGTAGCCAGAAGCAGGCATCAAGGTCACAACTAGAAGAAGTCCCACTTTCATCTGTTTCCGTTTTGCAATAAGACATATTTCTGCTTTGTAATGATGTCGGACCGAACAAACAAGTTATAGTCACCCTACACCATAGTAGCAACACATTAATACTAGTCCAGTAACAGTTCAAAAAATATAAATTACTTGAACAAACAACATTAAGCTGCCTTCTTCTCAATCGTTGAATAGGACTAATCTGTAAGAACTTATCATCTTCATATCACGCATTACTCTTAGTTTTGTTTGGTATGCGAACAAAGTCCAACATTCGGATACTCTTAATAGTTAGGGTCTTTCGTGAAAAACCATGGGGGTTTGGCCTAAAGAGGACAATATCGCACCATGTTAAGAGTATCTTTCGGCTGATTGAGCCAAACAACCAACATCAGAGCCTATGGTTCGGCGGGACAAGTATGGCGATGGCAGAGATGGCTGGGACTCGGTTTACTTCCCCTTACGAGCTTAGAGATGCAACTTTGGCGATATGGTTGGCACATAGTGAATCTCGAAAAGTGACCAATAGATTATGGTAATGGGCCATGTGGAGCTTAATTCGGGAGGAGACCCGTGGATCGTGGCGATGTTCCACGTAGAACTTAGTTCAAAGGGATATCGTTGGGTCATGTTGAACAAAGTCTTACATCGGTACCTGAAAAGATTGGAAAGTTACATATAAGGTGTATGATACTTTTAGGGTCGTTTGGTACAATAGTGGAATAAACCAGGATATCCCATGGGATTAGCTATTCCACCTTAGCTAATCCCACCATTTTAGTGTAAAATTTATCCCGGGATTAGCTACCTATAACTAAACATGGGATAAATACAATCCCAAATTCTATCCCGGGATTATTATCTTTATCCCATGTACCAAACGACCCCTTAGTGGTTGAGACCTTTTGAGAAAAACCGTGCGGGTTTGGTTCAAAGCGGATAATATCACACGACGTTAAGAGTATCTTTAGGCTGGTTGACACCAACAATTCTCGACAAGAAAATTACAAGTTTAAGCATTTGGCATCCAGCAAGTCTGAGTAAACAATGTTAATTGACTAAATGCAGGACCAACACTAAAGCATGTTTGGTTCAGATAAAACCATAATTGAATGTGTAAACAAAGATAAAACAGAGTTAATTTCAATAAAACAAACAAGATGCATGCATAAACACACAAGAATCAATTCTCAAGTACTGTTAAAACAATGATAAAAACCTGATGACTAGAGAGAGGAAACACAAACGTTTACCAAAGCAAAATGAATCTTCAACCCAAGAGAACTTAAATCAGTTGAAAAACAAAAAACTCATGTAATGTGAATAGAAAAGCAGTTTGATATGTTGAGTCATCTATTTTAAATTTTAAATTTAGGAAGAAAAAATCATAGTCTAAGAAATCATGACTTCACACGTCGAAACATGCCATCTGTAGCTCCAAGAACATAACTAAATGAATTAATAAATAAATAAAAAGACTATACAATTCTATAGAGTTAAGTTACCAGGAAGTCTTTCTTATTTCCATTAAAAAAAAAAAAAAAAAAAACGAGTTTCGTGTCACGCTTCTTAAGCAACAAAAAATAAGCAGGATGTCAATGAAGTTGCTTACCGCCAATACTTTTTGGTATTTCGTAATTTATTTGCCGGGTTTTTTTTTTTTTTTTTTGGGTAAATTGAGCTACTTCTGTTCGATTATATGAAAGTGCAAGGACTATAATGCCCCGCATTCCAAGCAAGTCGCAAATAGTATATTTTAGTTGGCACAAAAGATATATTTGGGATTTTTTTGGCTAATACATGTTTGGTCATATTTTATCTACATTTTGGCAAATTTCCAAATCCCAAAATAAGCTCAAGAGCTGGTTTTGGCCCAAAATATCACTATATATTTTTTAAAAATTGCCCCAAACTTTTGTATTTTATAAAAGAGCCCACCATTTATTATTTTGTAACAATGATGTTTCGTCTTCTCGGTCAACTGATAGTATATTATGTAGTTCATTATAAAAATGATAATTTTGTACCAAATTTATTTATATTCAGGACTATGGTTTGTGATATTATAATAAATGTTATTGATAAAGGTACTGTTGGGTATTTGTGATAGTTTTTAGAACTTGTGAGTATAAGTCATGTTTCATGTTTTTTCAAAAAAAAAAAGTGAAATATATTTTGAAAACTTATGTCCAAACACATTTTCATCTTCAAACCAAACTTCACCCAAATTAGATTTTTCAAAACAAATTTGGAAATCTATGGCCAAACGCTAGCTTAGAATTTGAAATTGTATTTGGACATGCATTTTATTTGATATTACATTTTGTGAGAGGAAATAAAATTTACATGAAAAATTGGTAAAACTCACTTTTTCAACATGGAAACTCATCTTCAAAAAAATTCAGAAAAATTCAATCCAATATATCACCAAACAAGTTTTGGAAAAAAATATATTTGTGTGGCCAAACGGGTACGCCTAGAGCTTGAAATTAAGCATGAATTGAAATTATTTATATTATTATAAATGCACAAATATTCGCCCTTTTTTTTCTTTGAAATAAGACTTAATATTAGAAAATTTTAAGTGATTATTTTTATATATTTATGACTTTGAAATAACTTATACTTTAATTATTTCCTAAGATTTAAAACTTTAAAATCAATTAAAATTTAATGGGATAGTTTCAAAAACCTCCCTCCTCAAGTTTGCCTTCATCACACTCACCTCTCTTGTAGTACCATAGTACACAAAGCTCCTCACTAGACGCAAATTGCCGAACCAACACCCGGCAGTATAGGAGTCCTTTCTTTGATAGACCTTCCCCAGAACAGAAGACAGGACATACCAGCCCCCGAAGGATTATTTGGCATTCTTTCATGTCGGGAGGAGGTAGCGGTTTATTATGATTTGTTTGTAATTATTCTCTAATATTAATTATTACTATTAATGTAAAAACTTATCTATTTGGACTAATTTGCCCATCTAGACACCTAAAACCCTCTATTCAAAAAACCTGTTATTTCCCTCCTTTCTTCAACTAAATATGGTAACAGTACAGAAACGCATAATACAAGATGAATCCTCTAACCAACTCATATATAGAAGGAATATGAACAGGTGAGCTTCCTGGTTTCTTCATTAAACTCATAGTTGGTGGCATCAGGTTCAGGAGGGGATGTTTACCTCGAAGAAAGTGAGTAACAATTTAAGATGATTTGCGGTTTTAAAGATATGTGATTTATTCCAATACTAGTGAATATACAAGTAATATTAGGTTTAAGTAAGAAGAATTGATGAACCAAACCAGTGTTGTTAGAGCAACAGGGACCTCGATCTCGATTATCTCGGGGGCCTCGAGGCGAGTTAAGAGCAAATAAAGTATGAACAATAAAGTAAAAACAATAAAGCTGAAGAACAATTGTGGAGCACAGTGAACGAGAAAAGCAGAATAGAATGTTCTATTGTAGTGAATGAGATGATGTTTACAAATGCTTGGGGTCCCCTTTATATAGTAGGGGAAAACCCTAATATGGTACATTTCCAATTATGGTAAAGAATTCTATTGGTACAGCTGTATAACAACCTAGTACGGACTCGTACTATTCCGTACAAATCTTATCCCTTAATTTATGCCCTGATCCATGTGTCCTTGAGAAATTCCCGCTCTTTCTTGAGTGTCATCGAAATTGTACTGCCCTCGAGGTAGATCATGACGGGTCTCCGATTTTCTCCCTCGAGGTATGCATTTTCCAGTCAGATCTGGTCTTTACTTTGTGCTGCCCGAACTTGAGCCCGGGGTACCGTTAAGTCCTCGAAATCGAGCTCTCCGATTTCGACCGTATACAGATATTCCCTACGTTTCTTAGAATGAAAAGATAAGAAACGATCTAATTCTCGCCCCTTCGATGTCCCAATCATGATGTCAGTCTAGTGAGGTCAGTGTTCCGTGTGACTAAAAAGTCGTGCAAAAGTTATGCCTACAGAGTTTTCAAAAAGCCTTTAATGAAAGACGGCTATTGGTCGTCCATTTAGCTTCTCCAACATGCTTAGACAGCCTCTATAAATACTTCAATCCTTCATTCTTCAAACTTTTACTTTTACAATATCATCAAATCTTCTCTGCACTTATTCCTTCCTTGTGCCCATTTCTTAACCAGCTCCTTCTCCTTCTTCTGAATTTTCACAACAAAAATGGCAAAAACTTCTAAGACAGTTCCACAAAAGGAGAAGGCCTCTTCGTCTTCACGCCCGTCGAAGAATAAAATGGTGGTACCTCCTCGCATTGAGAAGTGTACCCCCGGGCTTTGTGATACGTCTTCCGATTTCAAGGTCGACAAGCCAGCTTCTGTTCCAGGAGATGTGAACCCATGTCTCGGTATATTAGCTTAATAATCGAACTCAAACAAGTGAAGGCATATTGCCACTGGGGAGATGAAGTGCACGTGGAGATCCCTTCACCTGATGAGGATATTACCACTCACAAAGCGGGGTACCTAAGCGTATACACATACCCATTTACCTTAGGTCCCGTAGATCCTTCTTTGCCCTTTCTAGACCCAGTGATCCTCGATTTCCGTCGACAATACCAAGTGACACTCGGCCAAATTTATCCTTCCTTCTGGCGGATTGTTCACCTAATTAGGTACTATTCGAGCAAAGTCAAGGGGATGTCTTTTACCCTCGACCATCTGATCAGATTATACAGCCCTCGTCTCTATCGAGGTGGTCTGATAAAATTGCAACGTCGATCTCTGTAGTCTTTCTTCACTAGCATCGATGAGGATAAAGACCGAGGGTGGATGAGCTGCTTCGTTCAAGTCAGGACCTCCGACCTGATTCCCGCTGAAAAGATGCCGTTCCCCGAGGAATGGAATACGAAGCATAAGTACAGACCTATCGAGCATGTTTCATTACTTAGACATTTTCCCTTTCCTTTGAATTAACTCCCTTTTGATGATGCAGCCGTTGATTGGTATCCAGGTGCGGTTGCGGACCTCCCGGGCTGGGTTCGGCAACTAGCTTCCACTTCCACAAATGCCGAGCCCGTCTGGCGCGATTTGGCCGAAGGCCGGTGGGAGGCCAAAAACCACGTTGAGTCCTTATTATTTGCATATTTGAATCCCTTAGTGAAATACTCCTCAGCGATACACTTAAATTTACGCTTGTGCAGGCCTCGGAGATGTTATTTCGATGAGGCCGCCCCCACCTGGCAAGGGAGAGACCCAAAAACCTGCCAAGGACAAGAAAAGAAGGAAAGGGTCACCGGTGGAGTCCCCGAAGCCAAAAAAGGCCAAGCTTTGAAAACCTTGGGCCGATACGGTGGCCTTGACTCCGGAAACTGTTGCACGTCTTCGTGCTGAGGACGAAGAGAGAGATGAGGCCGAGGATGAAGATGCTCGCCCGTTAACAACTCGGAGAGGAGGAGGCACCGATCTTTCAAAGGCTGCTGAGTCGGAGGCCACCAAAGCGGTTCAACCTCAAGCTGAGGAAGTTCCCGGGGGGAGCTCGAGCAAGGTTCTCGAACCGACTAGTGGCAAGAAAGCGCCCCGTCCTGAAGGGCACTTGGTCGATGAACTCAGAGAACCCAGCCCTAAGGTTCCTCCAAGGCGGGAGAAGGCCCCGATTGAGCCGCTCGGGGTGATTGACGTGAATGACTCTCCACCAGGCCCATCATTTTCTGAGGGGCAAATACGGGATGCCCAAGATATGTAGACTCCTGATGTGGAAACATTCCACGGGGAGAATGACAATTTCGGCGAATGCCTTGCCGGGATCGAGGAGAGTCCCAACCTTGATGCCTCTTTCATCCTCGAAGAGGCCAAGAAGCTTCGAAAGCAGGTAAACTTTGACTTGATAACTACATTTAGAGTTAGGTTCTTGCTTTTCTAACCTCCTTCCTTTGTGTTTAGTCTGCGATGCTCTTCGATCAAGCTTCTTCCAAGTCTCGAGCTGAGCTTTCCCGATGTGAAGATAAGCTCAGGAAGCTTATGTTAGAGATGGACGGACTCAAGGCTCTCTATGCCAAAAGAGAGGGTGAACTCAATGATCTTCGGGCAAGTTCGGCGAAAGCTTCCCAAGAGCGGGCTGAGCTCGTTGAAAAGGTAATATAGCCTTCGTGGGTGCATTTTGTACTTGTTTGTTTTGGCGTCTAATGTTCCACCTTTGCAGTTCCAGAAGAAGGCCGACCTGGCGGAGCAACTTTGGGAGGAGCTTAAGACCAAAGAGGTTGTAACCCTCGGGTGGAAGCAAAGTATGGATCGCTTGGCCTCCGAAAAAGACAGTCTTTGGGAACAGCTGGCCTTGGCCAAGAGCCAGCTTCAGAGTGCAAAAGAGGAGGGTTGTAAATTTATGGAGC